GAACTACACAGGAGAAGCTGTTCAATGACCCGAAAGGAGCAGGGACCACCGTTTCCGTGGTTACTGGTAATACACTAAGACCTCATGGTTTGAAATCATGTTGACATGATTGTCAAGGCCCATTATCCAGTGCCAGTGGCCATCTGGATGATCCAGAGGAGTCATGGGAGAAAGCCATGAGACCAAAACAGAACTTTTTGGTCTTAACTCCACTAACCGGATTTGGAGGAAGAAGAATGATGAGAAAGAGCACCATCCCTACTGGGAAGCATGGGGGTGGTAGCATCATGCTTAGGGGGGGATTTTCTGCACATGGGACAGGGTGACTGCGCTGTATTAAGGAGAGGATGACCGGGGACATGTATTGCCAGATTTTGGGGAACAACCTTCTTCCCTCAGTTAGAGCATTGAAGAATGGTGGAGGCTGGGTCTTCCAGCATCACAATGAGCCGAAGCACACAGCCAGGATAACCAAGGTGCGGCTCTGGAAGAAGCAGATCTAGGTTCTGGCGTGGCCTAGCCAGTCTCTAGACCTAAACACAATAGAGCATCTCTGGAGGGAGCTCAAACTCTGTTTGACTGATCTAAAGAACATCTGTGTGGAGGAGTGGGCCAAAATCCCTCCTGCAGTGTGTGCAAACCTGGTGAAAAACTACAGGAAACGTTTAACCTCTGGAATTGCAAACAAAAGCTACTGCACCAAATATTAACATTGATTTCTCAGGTGTTCAAATACTTTTTTACAGCTGTATCATACAAAGAAAAAAATCATTAATTTTTTTCGTATTAAGTCTCCCCCAGTGGACATGCTCCATGCTACCATGACAACTCAGAACTTGCAAAATAGCAGGGTGTTGAAAATGCTAATTTTCCTCATTGTAGACACATTAAACCAAAACATTAGAAAATGCAATATTTTTTCCACTGCTTTGTTGACAACTTTTAAATCTGTGTCCCTATTCATACAAAAACAACCTTTTGAAGCCATCATGGCCTTGTCAGGCTACACCACCTCAAACTCACCACTTTGACAGCAAAGAAACAAGGAAACAGAAGTTGGCTGCTTCCTTAAAGGATCTTCTAAGACTCCTTACATCCAGCTGATTTCAGATGCTCTAACCGTACCTTCTCCATTGCTGCCCCAGAGCTGAGGAGTAACCTACTGATCCATGTTTCCAAGTCCAAGGTGGAGTAGTACCTCTGAAATCCTGCAGATGGCAGTGATGGCTCACTGTATGAGAAAGAAGGAAAGGCGGATAAATCTTTTTTCTTCTAAGGGAATATTTTTAGAGAAGGTTTTGCTCAATCCAGTCTTCAAATCAAAGATCTCATGTTTATCACTGCAGAGGACACGATAAACTGGGACAAGGTTACAAACCAATTCAGAATCTAAAAAAAGGCTTAAGAAAAGTAAAATCTGTTATTATAGAATCTAATCCTAAAAGGATCATTAGGTTTGTCAGGAAAAAGACAGCTTTGAACTTTCGACATGCAGTTGTGGTTTTAAGTCTTTTTTCCATCATTTTTTGTTTTTTTCAGGGAGCCAGAGGAGCACCAGGAGACCCGGGTCCAGAAGGACCAGCTGGGCCCAAAGTAGGAAACAACTTGTTGATAATCTGAGTTGATCATTTTGTTTGAAGCTGGATTTAAGATTCTGATTTGGGATTTTTAAAGGGTGATGGGGGACTAGGAGGTGTACCTGGACCTCCAGGAGAACCAGGTTCTGGCTTCCCTGGTCCAAAGGTAAGCCCTGGATTCTCTCAGTTCCTGAATTGGGCAGGATGGGGAATATCTCCAACCTCTCATTCACAAGTTCTCTTTTAGGGTGACAAGGGGAACCAGGGGAGACCAGGTCCAGCTGGACCGATGGGTTCTGGTGAGACCGGAGCTCAGGTACACAAACAGCTCACTGAAAGACTGAAGTTATGGAACAAACACAGTTATACGTTTGTCTCTTGCTGAGCTGTTAGAAACTGTGCAAAGATCAAATTTAAACAGAAAAATAAAAGAAAGTTTTTTATGTTCTACTACTTTAGGGTCCACCAGGGCCTCCAGGATTACAAGGTCCTCCTGGGTTTCCAGGCGAGGGTCTAATTGGACCCCAGGTAAGTTCTGAAACAATCGTCACAAAACATCTTTCACTCTGCTGTTGATCTAGCTTTACAAAGCAGACTGAGAAAAAGGCTGAAATGCTCAGAGTCTGAATTAACTGGAGCTTCAATAAACAAGCTGTGGGTCCGTTTTGACTCGTGGTTTTCCGTGTGGAACAGGGTGAGAGGGGGTACGAGGGGCCCAAAGGCAGCCGTGGACCTCCTGGACTCGGACGGAAAGGCGATAAGGTTGGATTAGCTACAGCGAACAGGCAGCAGCATAAAGCTGGACAGCTGCAGAGTTTAACACCTCTTATGGTTCTGACCCACAGGGAAGCACAGGTGAACCTGGGCTCCCAGGTTTGGCCGGGGCTCCAGGTGAAGGGCTCCAAGGAGAAAAGGCAAGACTAATAAAACAAACATTAAGAGCTGGCCAATTTACCCTTTTTTTAATAGTTTTTTTGGGTTCCTATTTTTCTTTTAAATGCTAATAATTTTGTTTGGCTTCTAGGGGGATCCTGGACCCATCGGCCCCACAGGTCCCAGAGGGCCTCCAGGACTGCTAATAGTTGGACCAAAGGTCGGTGAATTGATTTTATTGAGAGGTTTGTTAGCTAGCTTCTCCATGCTAATAGGAGCAGCTGTGACGCTGAGCGCCATCACCTGACCTGCTGACAGACCTGCGTGGTTCACATTGACTTTGTTTATTCCATTGCTTGGTCACAGCAGTTTTCTACAGGTGCCTTCAGGCGGAGCGCGGCGTCGCTAGCCAGCTCATGGATTTATATAGTATCCCAAGCTCCAAAAACTCATATCAGGGAGATGCTTATCCCCCAACCCCCCCGCCCCCCCGGGGTCAACGCGCCCGCACCGTGCCCTGTACATACACACTTAAGGCCAGCAGCTTTTCAGTTAACTAACAGTCATTTATTAAACACTAAACAGAACAGGATTGGTCTTTTATTTTTAATACTTTCAATCTTGTAGCCTTGAACATCGGTTGTGCTTTCTGTTTTCAGCATACAGTGCACCTCGCCACGGTGACATCATTCCTCACCATGGCCAGTTCTAGACAGGGGCCAATGGGGGCCAGTGCCCCCGTAGATCATGTCCTGGCCCCTGTACTGAAATTCTAATGATAATGCGTTGGAACAGACATGGTTACTGATGGACCCTTTGGATCTATTTTATTCTTTTTCTTTACAAATTCTGTTTTACTAATTATTTTAAAACAATAAGGTGATAGCTTCACTAGTACTGAGATAGGATCCCAGTTTTCATCTTCTA